CTTTATTTGTATATAACACATTGACAAAAAAAGAATTAAAAAGAAAAAAAAATGTAAAAAACATAGAAAATTTCATCTTGATATACGACATTTGAATGCAGATAGGTTCCATCTTTTCACAAAATATGTAACTTCCACTATTGCTTACTTTATTTGCCATAACAATTGAGTATTTTTATATATTTATATATGTATATTTCAGTCTAACTTTAGCTATTCAACTAATTTATCTCCTTTAACCACCTATAAAAATTATACCAATATTTGTCAAAATTTTCATAATCTTTTTCTTGTAAAAGTAATATTAATTTCTCCATGTCCGCCACATCTTAGAAATCACTTCCTCTCTAGTAGGAGTTTCCTCATTTTTCCACTTACTAGCATAAGAGATTCTAGCTGCCCTCTCTTAGGAGTAAGCCCATTGAAACATATTAGGCCTCACCTGAGTAAATGTGCATAGGGTCATGTTGCAATCATTCATTTATTGCTGTCCAGACTGACCCTCGTCTGGCGTGGGGGGCAACGGGGGCAACATCTGGACTGCCCTCCTCCACTCCCCAAGTGGAAAACGGCCCCAAGGAGCCCAGACTCGCGTGGAGGTCGACTCCCTCCCGCCGGGTCCAGTGCAGACAGTGACAGCACCCAGCTCCGCCCGGAAGATAGTGACGACAACGCCAGGAGCCTGGCAGGAGGTTGCCCTGCTCGGCCTCGACTCAAGAGCCCCGAAGATGCTGAGAACCCAACCTGAGGCCAAGCAGGAAGCCATGCTGCTCAGCCACGCCCAGCGACCACTGCTGACAACCCGAGCCATGGGATGAGTCTGGGAGCGGGGCTGCAGCCAGGCAGACTAGCTCGCAGTACTGCTGCTGGGGAAGGATGGGGCCTGTGACTTCCCCCATGCACTACACCCAGGTCTTTTTTTTTTTTGTAGAAAAAGCCCAGCAGGAACTTATTCGCATAATAGGCCACACCCAACAGCAGGAACTCGTTAGCATATTAGGCCACAACCCTGACAGCACAGCTCATTGGCATATTAGGCCACACCCCCATGCCTTCCCTTGGCTTGCCTGGGCGCCCTGTGGCTGCGGGGAACCCAGGCAAGTCAGCCCTTGGACAGGCCGGGGAAGGCACGGGGAGGCATTTAAATGCCTTCCTGATCCTTCCATGCCCCCCCCGGCCCACCCACCTCGGAGTCACCGGGGGGGTGGTGTCACTCCCCAGGTCTTCCCTCTGTAGCCAGGCACGCAGAGGTTTTGGCTGTAGTGGGTGGGCGTGGCCAACTCTGAAGCCAGCTGGAACGCCGTTCCTGTGCGTTCCTGCCCAAACATAGCCTTGACTACACCCTCCTATTTCTGAGGCCTCCAGGGGCACTTGACTTCCACCCCAGCCACAGCAGAGGGTGCTACAACCTCAGGGAGGCTTGGCAAGTCCGACAACCACCTAATCTAATTGTACATATGTATACTTATGAGTACGTCCTATGTTCTGTGGAGTTTACTCACAGGTGAATGTGTATGATGATCGCAGCCTCATTTGCTTAAACCAAGGGTCACTGCAAAAGCAAATATGCTCCACACGGGGAAGAAAAATAATGTATCTTTTACCTCCACAGCTCAGGCAAATGGATTTACACCTCATTATGTAGCAAATTAGTTCATTACAATAAAGCTGGAAATGAACCAGAAATGAGATTTATATATGCAGCTTGGAAGCTGTGTTTGGAAGCTATGGTTAGCCCAAACCGCGGTTTGGCATGATCAGTGGTCGCCATGGTAATTGATTGTATGCAGTTGTAGCTGGATTTTTTGTTGGTTATTTTACAGCAGCAGCTGCAGACTGGGTTGTTTTATAAGTGCTGTATCATACCACTGTTCCGCTGGTGGAAGCATAAGTTTTATCCGCTTTTCCCAGCTCCCTCCTGCGACCCCTGATTGAGGAAGGGGGACCATCGAAGACAAAAAGCCCTGTGGGACAGTGTTCCCTCTAAGCTGAGTTGGTGTGAGCTAGCTCACAGTTTGTTAGCCTCCGGCTCCGTTTTTGTCTTCGCTCAGGAAGAAGGGCTCCAGAGCAAACTAATTTATGCAGTAGCCAAATCACACACTCACAACTTTAATGCCAGTAGCTCACAAAGGAGAATTTTTGTTCGCAGGACTCTATAGCTTAGAGGGAGCATTGCCTATGGGTCCCTGAGACAGGAACCCCGCAGTAAAAAGGAGAGCTGGATGATCAGCAGTCCGGCAGTAATGTACAGCCTGATGTATTTTTTTGGAACTGGGCAGCCAGCAGTGTTCCCTCTAAGCTGAGTTAGTGTGCGCTAGCTCACAGTTTTTTAGCCTCCAGCTCACACATTTTTGTCTCAACTCAGGAAGGATATGGCTCCAGAGCCAACTAAGTTATGCAGCAGCCAAGTCGCTTGCTCACAACTTTAGTGCCAGTAGCTCACAAAGTAGAATTTTTGCTCACAAGACTCCACAGCTTAGAGGGAACATTGGCAGCCAGTCTTAGACAATACTGAGCTTGGTGGCCCAATGGTCTGATCCAGTATAAGGCATGTTGATGTGTATCCATGTGTAATGTTAACTCAAGACCGTGCGTGGGGAAGATGTTTGAGGCATCTCTCGTTGGGGACCATTGTTGTTGTTCTGTCGCACAGTCGAGTCTGACTCTTGGCGACCCCATGGACCACATCACGCCAGGCCCTCTTGTCTTCCGTCATGCTCCGAGTTTGCTTAATTTCATGTTCGTTGCCTCGATAACACTGTCTACCCATCTCGTCCTTTGCTGTCCCCTTCTTCCGTTACATTCAGTCTTCCCCAGCATCAGGGTCTTCTCCAGTGAGTGCTCCCTTCTCATTTGGTGGCCAAAGTATTTGAACTTCAGCTTCAGTATCTGGCCTTCCAGGGAACAGTCAGGGTTGATTTCTTTTAGGATCGACTGATTTGATCTCCTTGCAGTCCAGGGGACTCTCAAGAGTCTTCTCTGGCACCATAATTCAAAAGAATCTATTCTTCGGTGCTCAGCCTTCCTTATAGTCCAACTCTCGCAGTCATACAGTACTACTGGGAATACCATTGCTTTGACTGTACGGACCTTTGTTGGCAGGGTGATGTCTCTACTTTTTATTATGCTGTCCAGGTTTGCCATCGCTTTCCTCCCAAGGAGCAGGCGTCTTTTAATTTCATGGCTGCAGTCACCATCTGCAGTGATCTTGGATCCCAGGAACGTGAAGTCTGTCACTGCTTCCACGACTTCCCTTTCTATTTGCCAAGGTGTGATGGGGCCGGATGCCATGATCTTAGTTTTTCTGATGTTGAGTTTCAAGCCAACCTTTGCGCTCTCCTCTTTGACCGTTAGCAAGAGGCTCTTTAGGTCCTCTTCACTTTCTGCCATTAGAGTAGTATCGTCTGCATATCTGAGGTTGTTGATGTTTTTCCCAGCAATCTTAATTCCGGCTTCTAACCGTATATGACAGTTAAGTGCTCAATATTGAACAGGTGATATTATATGTAAAGAATGCTGCCCTGCTTCTTGTCTCACCACCCTAAACGCTGGGGGCCCACAAGGACACTTTAGTGGGCACCCAGATTATGGAACTGGCTCCATGTGGTGGTCCACCTGCCCCTTCTCTGTTCGTGTTCAGGAGGCAAGTTAAGGCTATTCTGCTAGGAGAACTTACCTTTTCATGTCATAGGAGAGGTCACCTTGTACAAATATCCTTCTAGCTCACTCTTGTTTAGTGTGACCAGCAGCAATTTTTCAGTTACTAGCCTTGTCATTCTAGAGCAGTGGTGGCAAACCTATGGCACGGGTGCCAGAGGTGGCACTCAGAGCCCTCTCTGTGGGCACACATGCCATCGCCCCAGCCAGGCCCAGACCATCATTAAAGTGTTGAATTCTCTGCCAAATAATTTTAAGTAAATGTAAGCATTTGGGATTGCTTTCCTTACTTTGTATCATCTTAAGTTAAGGTATGAGTTGTTTTTTCTAAAGTAAAACCTCAGTATTCAGGTTAAATTGCCGTGTTGGCACTTTGCAATAAATAAGTGGGTTTGGGGTCGCAGTTTGGGCCTTCGGCCTCTAAAAGGTTCGCCATCACTGTTCTAGAGAGAAATTCAACCGCCTCTTGAAAATATCAAGATATCAACCCTCTTGGGTGGGTGCATCTTAAACAGCAGTGGGTAAATTTTTTGTCTCACAGCCACATCTGGGTTTCTGCCTGATTTTGAGGGCTGCAGGTTGTACTCTGGATTTTTCTTTTTGCCAGTGCAGGTGGAGGCCCAAATGTGGGCCTGTTTCCCACTCTATTGCTCTTAGTGGGTCTTAATGACACACGGCCCTTGCTTTTTAACAGTTTTTCAGGGGCATCAGCCCGCTAACCAATGCTGCAGTCCACTGGACTGGTGCTCCTTACAAATTGTTAAGTGGGCCAGATGTGCCCTGCAGACCATAGTTTGCCCACCTCTGATTTTGACTCTATTGCGCGTGTGTTGTCAGTGCAGGCATATGAACACGAAGGTGCCCTTGCGAAGCCTGCAGGTACTAAAGTCTGCTTTGAACTGCTGCTGACCTGTTGCAGGGCAATTATATTGCCCCTCCCTCAGTATACCTTTAACTGAAAGAAAAAACAGCTTCCTGACTTGACAATTCAGAGTCAGTGAACACATTAGGCTCCTGGTGGGGAAAAGCCTCCAGTAATATGTAATAGTGGAGATTGTGTGGCTTGCAGAGTGATCTTCGATATGAGAATAAGGCTGCAGGAAGCATCTTCCTCTTTTCTTTGGTGAAGTAGTGGAAGTTCTCCGGTTCTTGCACCGTTTATTACGAACCCCCTTAGCATTGCTCTCTTTCAAAATGCCAGACCCTTGGATTAAATTGTGGACATCATTTGCAGCGTTAGGGAGACACCTGCTGTTTGTTCCGCTTATATAATTTTTTTCTCAGTCTTTCTTTCTTTTATAATGTTATGAATTAATGTATGCACTTTCCCCCCCTCCTTTTAGGGTGCCCGAGGCCCGGATGGTCCAGTAGGCGAGCTGGGGTCCCGAGGTGCCAAGGTGAGCTCTCCCCTTCCCCCACAAGAGTGGGATTGCTCTTGCACTGACTTGGATAGCTGAGGCGAGCTTGATCTCGTCAGATCTCGGAAGCTAAGTGGGGCTGACCCTGTCAAATATTTGGATGGGAGACCTCCAAAGAATACCAGGGCTGGGAGGCAAAGGCAGGCTATCAAGCCACTTCTCTGAACGTATTCCATGCCCTAGTAGGAGTCGCCAGAGGTCGCTATGACTTCCAGTCAGGGGCGTGCGCATGCACACACACACACATGCACACGCACAAAAATGTAAAAAATACAACAAGCAAACACACGAACAAAAAGAGTGGGATTGCTCTTGGGTGTGATTTGAAATTGTCCATAATGTGCTGGGAACACAGGAACCTTGCATCATTCATTCACTCATTCATTCATTCATTCATTCATTCATTCATTCATTCACTCATTCATTCATTCATGTAAAGGTTTATTGTCAAGACCCACAGCCAAACAACAGAGCACACACTTCCAAGAGGTGTAGTGGATAAGTGTGCAGACACTAATCTGGGAGAACCGGGTTTGATTCCCCACTCCTCCACTTGCACCTGGCTGGATGACCTTGGGCAAGCCGTAGTTCTGATAAGAGCTGTTCTTGAAAAAGAGCAATTTCTGTCAAGAGCTCTCTCAGCCCCACCTACCTCACAGGGTGTCTGTTGTGGGGAGGGGAAGGGAAAGGAGTTTGTAAGCCGCTCTGAGACACCTTTGGGTAGTGAAGGGCGGGGTATAAATCCAATCTCTTCTCTCTTCTTTATTGTTAGTACTACGGTTGCAGTAACATGGTCACTGTTAGGAATGACGAATATGGAACAAGCATATAGTGATATAGAGGATTCAACAGGTCCCCCCACACACACACCTGTGAGCCAATCGGCCTGTTTCCCGCGGGCGGGAAAGAATAACCGATGGTCGAGGCTGAGAAACGAAACTAGTCTCATGGTTAATTAAATTGGAGACACTACACAGGCAGGAATACAAGGTCAGCGATAATGAGGAGAGAAGCAAGAGGGAAGGAGAGTGGCACCTACTTGTACACAGGTCAGGCATGCGAACTCTAGGCCTATAAACCATATGGCAGCCTAGCTGACATTTATGTCCTTCTGTCAGCCCCAAACGTTTCCATCATCAATAACACTAATAACTTGAATTAAAGCAGGTCAGTAAAAAAAACCAAAACTACCCAAAAACATCCGGAAACATGTATACCAGAACAACCCAATATCCAGTCAGTAACAATAACCATAAAGGTAAAGGTTCCCCTTGCTCGAAAGCTAGTCAGATCGGACTCTAGGGGGCGGTGCTCTTCTCCGTTTCCAAGCCGAAGATCCAGTGCTGTCTGAAGACATTTCCGTGGTCATGTGGCCAGCATGACTAGACGCCAAGGCGCACGGAACGCCGTTACCTTCCCACCGAAGCGGTACCTATTCATCTACTTGCAGTTTCTTGGTTTCGAACTGCGAGGTTGGCAGGAGCTGAGGCCAGGTTCATATGTTCTGCAGGGTTGAAAGGCTGCTAATAAATGTTTGAAATATATAAAATAAACATGGGAGGAAGAGATCCTAGCTAGGGTTGCCAGCCTCCAGTTGGTGGCTGGAGATATCCTAAGATTACAAACTGATGTCTGGGCGACAGAGATCAGTTCCCCTGGAGACAAGTGGCCAATTTGGAAGGTGGGCTGTATGGCATTATACCCCAATTAAGCCCCTCCCCTCCCCAAACTCCACCCTCCTCAGGCTCCACCTCCAAAATCTCCAGGCATTTCCCAACCCGGAGCTGGCAACCCTAGCCCTAGAAGGCCAATATTTAAAACCGGCTTGGCTTGAATTTGTGGGATTAGTGTAGGCCAAGATTAAATTCCAGAGTGGGGATGGGCGTGGTACCTAGGTTTGCCAGGTGCCTTCTTCCCACAGATGTGGGGATTTGGGAGCGTTCTGAGGGTGGGCGGGGATGTCAGCACATCGGTGACACACTCTACATTTTGGGCAGAACTCTATAGTAAAAAGGGCTACAAACCATAGAGTTTTCCCCTAAAGTAGTGTCACCCCCCCCGACATTGCTGACGTGATGACGTCACTTCCAAAGGTAATGTCAGCATGTTGCCGATGTCATGTGGGGATGTCTGTTTGGGGGTTGAGCTGCCCCTGCCAGCCGGCTGGCTGGCGATGGGCTGGAGCCCGCAAACGCTCCCCGCCTTCACCGGGAATCTGGCAAGCCTAGTGGTATCTGAGGTTAAACACACTCAGAAGCCCTGCCTGCTGTCATATGCTGTTCCTTGCTGGCAGGGGTCATTTTGTAGAAAAAGAGGTGCAGGAGCTCATTAGCATAACTCATTAACATAACTTATTTGCATATACCACACCCTCTGACATCACCGGAAGTGTGTCAGAAGGCAACACCCACCACTCAGTGCAGATCTGTCCTCGCAGAGGAGGGAGAGCTTGTACCTGAATAAAACTTGGTGTTAAGGGTGCCACTGGACTCTTTTGGACCAGGAGGCCGGGCGGAGCTCTGCAACTTACCTGGCTTCTTCTTGCTCTGACTGAGGGCTGCTGGGAGCAGGGGGTGGGGCTTGTTGCATGCGCCCGCCCCCTGGGCTCTTTACTGCCAGAGCTCTGCTCCTGTGTGCTCCTGCAGGAAATGACCCCTGCTTGCTGGTGATCAAAATGGATAGTTTAAACGTTCTCGAAAGTACTCTCTCCTTTATAAGGCTTCAAGAATTCTGAGACTGGTTTTAGGGACTGTGACCAGCCCTGCTACGCAGTTTGGAAGAGAGAGACTGGTTATGGGTACCGCTTGCATGAGATTAAGTCTTTTCACGGAATCTTTAGAAGATTCAGGCAACTGTGCTATCATGTAATTCAAGAAGTTGGTCAGGATCTGAGGCCTGGGCCACTGTTTACATCAACCTAAGCAGATCCATGGTAGCCCTGCTTCCGAGGTGTTTTTTTTCCCTTTCCTCCCTGCCTCTGCACTGCCAAGCCAAGTCCTCTGGTTAGTTTGATAGATAAGAGAGATGGGGAAAGAAGCACCACCTCTGGAGGGGATACTGAAATGGTAGTCTCATTAAGCAAAGCTTTCTGTGTGAGGGCAACAATGCTGAGTTAATTCATCAATGGGAAACATTTTGATCAATTAAAACAAGGCCCTAGATTAACCAAGCTGCAGATTTAAAAAAAAAAGAAAATACACAGAGTTATACAAATTGCAATTGTCTGCATTCCACCACCCCTTTACAAAAAGGCCCAGAGAATCTGGATTGCTGCAGCATTTTGATGCATGGATCCCTTTCAGATAAAGTTGTTCCATTTGATTATCAACAGATGGTAGTATCAGAATCCATCCATTGGCATTAGCCTCAGAACAAATAGCTAGATCTAGCAAGAGAGGGTGGAAAGAGGGTCATGGTGTGGGGGTGAGAAAACAAAAGGTCTGGAAGTAATCCTGAAGAACTGGAGGTTTATATTGCTGCGGGTTGGATTTCCCCTCTCCTCCAGGTCTCATGCACTCCTCGCTGTTCCACATTTCCAAGAACGCTTGGCAATATTTAGGAAGATTTCAGGGCTCCTGTTCACCTCTTGGACTGGACAGTGGTAAATTCATTCCAGATGAAGGAGTATTCCTCAGTTTGTAGATAGGGCAGAAGGTTTATGGCTACAATTCTAAGATCACTTTCCTGGGAATGAGCCTCATTGACTAAAATGGGTCTTACTTTCTTTAAAATGGTTCTTCCATTGGGACCAATTGCTCCAATCGGCTAAAAACAGGATTTCGGCTCTTACCCATTTTTATTACCGACAAGGAAATCAGTTGGTTCCGGCTGCCCTTCGAATTTTCCAAGCTACGGTTATTATATGGAATCCCCGTATGGATTCAGAGTTTTAACAAAGAGATTGATCGAATCCATGCAATCCAAGAATCCATGGAAGGATTCTTGGATTGCCTTACTCTGTTACCTACTATTCCCTCTGTGCTGAGCTGGGTCTCCATCTCTTAGACTCAAGGGCATGGATCACCACTATTAAATATTGGCTTCATATCCATTTTAGTGCCCCTCAGAATAGCCTTAGGAGCTGCGGTGGCTCAAGTGGTTAAGACGCTGAACTGCAGGCTGTGGCAGGTCGGTAGTTCAGCGGTTCAAGACCCGAGTGTGCTGCATGATTGAGTAAGCTCCCATCTCTAGTTCCAGTTCCTGCCAACCCAACAGTTCGAAAGCAAGAAATTGCAAGTAGATAAATAGGTGCCACTTCAGTGGGAAGGTAACAGCGTTCCGTGCGCCTTGGTGTTTAGTCACGCCAGCCACATGACCACGGAAATGTCTTTGGACAGCGCTGGCTCTTCGGCTTTGAAACGGAGATGAGCACCGCAACCCTAGAGTCGGATTTGACTGGCTTTCGAGCAAGGGAACCTTTACCTAGAATAGTCTTATTGCACTCTTAACTATGGATCCATATGTATCCAAGTGGTCACAGGCTATAACCTCTAAAATATGTTCAATTGGCATTGATCTGGACATCTTGGGAAATCAAAATGAGAATTTCGTATACCGGACAATCTGTAGAAGAATCTGGGACACTGAAGCCCAAATAATCCAGGCTGGTGCCGGGGGTACTTGTTCCCCCCTTTCCCTCGGCCTCAGATATATACCAAATAGTATGGCACAATACTTCTCTAACTTGGAGATCCTGCTGCATTGCAGAGCCTTTATGCTAGCCAGATTTAAGGTTTTCCCCTCATCTTGGGTTTCAGGTAGATATAGAGGTATCCCAAAATGTGATAGAATTTGTCATTGCTCATCTGGAGAACCTGATACATTAGATCACATCTTATGACGCTGCCCCCTCTTTGGTTACTTTGGGTTAAGCCCATACTGTCTAGGATTAACTCTGATAATGTAATTAGGTACCTTTTAGCTGATGAGTCACCTGAAGTTACCGCATAGATTGCTGAATTCTTGACTAAGATCTTGGCAAGTAAGGAGCTTTTTAAATATTGACTTACTTCTGAGTAGGCCTACATAGAGAACCTGAGAAATAAAATGACTTAGGCCTAGTTTTCATATATAGCTGAAGAATCTGTTTCTGGAAATTACCTTTCAGGCTCATGTAACTGAAATCTCCATCACAAAAATAATTTCCCTGTCCATTAAAAAACAACAACATAAAAAGCTGAATATCAGCTAAAGGGTGTTTTGCTTAGCTATGCACCGTGCCAATTGGTTGCTTCTCCCTGCCGTACTTAGCACAGTTTTCCCAAGTTTAAAAACACTGGATTTTTAAAAATAAACAAAACAAACAATAAAAACCATCATAGAAACAAGTGAGCACACCAATATAACTTCAGAGGGCAGCACAGATATAAAAAGCAATAGTCATAGAATCATAGAGTTGGAAGGGACCTCCAGGGTCATCTAGTCCAAACCCCAAAACTGACTATCTAATAATAATAGTCAAAACTGACTGCCTAATAAAATCTACAGATTAAAAGAATATCAGGGAGCCAAAAGCACCAATTACCCTGCAGAGTAAAACTGTTTCTGCAAGTTCAAAAAGGAGGGAACCAGGTAGACCTCCTGAGGCAAGGACTTCCATAGTTATGGCTAGTGAGAGATTAATGTGGTGGAGGAATTTAACAAGAGTAAGCAGTTATTATGGAGAGTAATTCAGAGTTACACATGTCTTGTATGTTTGGATACTCCTTTATTTTAAAAGCCCCCTGCTGGTAGGTAATTGTTATATCAGGGAGAGACAAGCTGTTTTTCATTGGGCAGAGAATGTTTGTGACTGGAACTGCTTTCAGCTTTCTGAGCCCCCACAGGTTGTCCATCTCATCTGCTGCTTGTGAGAATGAAAACTTAAATAGAGGAGTCTTGGGGGGCATTGGCAGAAGTATGTTGGCAAGCTGAATCCACTCTATTTTGGTCTTTTTGAAAATAGGGCCAAACAGGGCACCCAGGCAAGCCAGGACCAGATGGGCAGCAGGTATGTAGATTGTCTTTGGGGTGTTTTCAAAGGATATATAAACTGGTATCAGCAGAAATGTTGTGAAACTGGACTGTTGCTGTTGTTGTAAGACCGTGGCATCTCTCGCACTCAGCGGCTTATACTTGCTTATTCTGGTTATTTGGAATGTTCTCAGTGATGTCTTTAAATTTACTTGGGAGATCCATCCTTGTCCCATCCCGTCCCAGCAAATCTGTGGCCGTAAATGAGAAGGTACTTTTTAATGCCATATTTAGGCAAAACTACGGTTGGGAGCCGTGTGTGGTAATGTTAGTTGATTTTGCTAAATGTAAGCACTCTTTGAGCACAGGTGTTCAAAATCAGAAGGGTCAGCCCACTGTAGAACTACCTTTCCATCCCTCCACCCTGGTCACATATTCTGTGTTCTCTGTGCTCAAGGACGTCTGGTATTTCATGTTTCCAGGCAAAGCACAGTGCTGACTGGCTGGTCCCTGTGACATCACAAATCCACTTTCCCACCCTAGCAGTTCTTAAGGTTGTAAACATGAATAGGATTTAGACTTTTAAAAACCTAGGGTGCTAAGCAAAACATTTAACTGGATAAACTTGTATGGAGCTTTGGCAGGGACAGGATATGCAAAATAGGCAAGGAGGAAGAAATAATCTGGGTTGATTATGTGTTTTCTTTGAAGAGTGGAAGTGGGGGTGAAGGTGAGCCAACAGACCTGTATGTATGGATTCCCCTAGCTCTGTTCCATGGAGGATTTCATCCTTTTCTGTTCTCAGGGAGCTTCCCTCAAACTTCATGGACTCTGAGAAGCCGAATTCCAGCAGGAGAGAGGGAATGGTCCCCCTTTCACTAACTGAAAGAAGGTTAACTAGAGACTCAGGATTCTGGGGGGAAAGTGCCATGGTCCACGATCCCATGATTTTGGGATGGAGGCAAAAGTGCACCATAGTTCCTCAAGGCTCTACTGTGTCTGCCAAGCACGGACATGAAAGAATTCTTTTCCAAGGTCCCTTGGGGCACCTTTGCAAGGTTTAAGGGATCTGTCATTCAGGTTCTCTCGTGTGGCTTCTACTTTGTGAGCTCCTGGCATTAAAGCTGTGAGTGAGTGATTTGGCTACTGCATAAATTAGTTTGCCCTGGAGCCATCCTTCCTGAGCTGAGAAACAAATGTGTGAGCTGGAGGCTAAAAAACTGTGAGCTAGTTTGCACTAACTCAGCTTAGAGGGAGCACTGGAGAGGATTGAGAGTTACTGTCCTGGGGATTCATACTGTCAGGGTTTGTTTCACCCTTCCTAAGCCTGGGTCCTTTCCTCCCTCAGCAGTCTTTTGGAATTCTAGCATGAGACGTCCTTGGGACAAGTGTGTCTTCATGTGTTCTTGGACAAATCCTGTGAGACAGCTGAATTCTCCTTGAATTGTAGAAAGCTTGCATGATCTTCCTTCACGGATGTCCTAACAGCCTCTTCAGACGGACTTCCCATAGGTTTTGAACTCATGACTGAAACTGTGTGTTTTCAGGGAAAGACGGGAGAGACAGGAGAGATGGGACCTCGTGGCTTCCCCGTAAGTTTCTGGTTCGAGTTCTGTATCACCTGGATAGTCCTTTGCCTGAGACTTTGGAGAGCTGGAGTTGACGATACTGAACTAGATAGGTCAATGGCCTCTCTCAGCAGAAGGCAGCCAAGACCAGATTGGAGGTCATATATGAACATGAGAAGCTTTGTTACAACCTCGAGCAACTAGTCCATCCAGCACCAACTTCTTGAGGGCCAAACTTTGATACATTTAAAACTGAACTTGTACCTGACTCATTTAAAAAGTCTCATGCAGTTTGGCCTGGAGATTCTTTAACTGGAAATAACTAGGGACTGAAGTCGGCCTCGTCTGCACAAAGGAAGGCGGCTCCTTCTTTCTAGCTTTCCTATTATGGTGGCTTTCCACACTGGCTTACTTACGATGTCTGTGTTTGTCAGTCTTCTTTTATGTAAAACAAAATCCCTTTTTGTCATGCCTGCCCCTGCCGTGACACTTTTTAGCAATGAAATTCAAAGCGATTACGATCCACCACTGAGCCACGGACTCCCCCAAGAGGAGGAGGTAGCCAGGATTCAAACCCAGGCCAGAAGACTGGCAACATTGTACGATGCTTCCACACTTGCAATATTGCCTCTCTTCTTTAACGTATCGCGTAATAAAGTAATTTAGGTATTGCAGCATGCCTGTGTGCTTTGTTTTCCCGTTCAGAGGGAGTCGATGCGACTTTCAGATACTTTGCATAACATATTTTTGCAGTCACAGTTGTGTATTGTTTTTCGATACTGAACAGGTATGTCCTTAGTATATTGATTTAAAATGTAGTTATTTCTGTTGTTCCTCCCCCCCAATGGATGCATTCCTCCTCCCAGTACTGTCTAGCTGTGTTGCTTTTTAGCTAAAGTATTCACCAGATGCCAAGGATGCTCCAGGCAGGGTGAAAAGTCACACACCACACTGGGCCTCTGACTCACTGTTGTCTCATCTTAATGCAGGGTATCCAAGGACATTCTGGACCCCAAGGAGCAAAAGGACCTCCAGGAGACTCGGCAAGTACCTCACACAGCCGTCTCCTTCCCACTTCCCTAGTCTTCACCCCTTTGCTTTTTACTCAGTTACTAAGTTGTCTCTCTTTTCTGAACAACTCACACTCCGTTCCTGCCATCTAGAGCTTTGAGGGTGTGGGTTGATTGTCTCCTAGTGTAACTATTGCAGTAGCAAAGATGTTCTGTGAAGCCGTCAACCATCCCTTGATAACAATCCTGGTCCTCCCACAGAGCTGCTGGAGCCGGGGTTACTTTGGTATTTATGTCTTGCTCACATCATATGTAGGAATGAGATTTTCCTTGTGCCATTCTTATATTGTGGGGGAATTTAATGCTGCATTCCATTTCCCCTTAATTCTTACTTAATTGGGAGCATATCTGAAATGAATTCTGCAGCTGGAGCATGTACAGTTGGCTGTAGGTTTCAGCTTCTTCATTTAATTTGCATCTTTTACTGATTGATAAAGCGCTGCCAAACAAAGCAGCCTTGATATGCATACAAACGTATAATTCTATCAAGATTGTTTTTCTGTAGTGTGTTAGTGTCGTGCCCATATGATTGGGTAAAACACTGTACAAAAAGAATTTTAAGGTAGTTGTACATACAGTGGCACCAGCTTTGCTTTTGGGCAATGTTTTGTCCTTGCATAAGTCCACCTTGGCAACACAGAAAGAGAAAAGAATGTACATACTGAAAGCCGTGGCAACCTGTCCATATTCAGTAAGCTGCAAAATTTGGAAACAAAAAACAGAATAAAAAAGGGGGAAAGCTTAATGTATTAGTTCCATTTTGGAAACAAGACCAGGTTATTTGGAGTGCCAAAATTCTGAAAAAAATCCAGATGTTATAAATTATGGAAGCATCCCTAATCGTATCCCAATTTCCTTCTACAAGAACATCGGAAGGCAGCTAACTGTTTTTAAAAAGTGAAATACAGATAACATAAAAACAGTAGGGCACCACTCATTCGTTCATGGGAAGACTCCAATGGTTCGGATCAGGGCTCTTTTTGTAGAAAAAGCCCAGCAGGAACTCATTAGCATAATAAGCTACACCACACAGCAGAAACTCATTAGCATATTAGGCCACACCCTTGACAGCACAGCATATTAGCATATTAGGCCACACCTCCATGTTACCAGAAGTGTGGTCATCCAACCACACCCACCTTTTGCTTCTTATTCTGTTTACCTTGTTGTCAAAACCCAGAGGGTTTTTTTTGTAGCAGGAACTCCTTTGCATGTTAGGCCACACCCCCTAATGTAGCCAATTCTAATGAGTTTTTGCAGTTGGGTGTGGCCTATTATGCAAATGAGTTCCTGCTGGGAGTGGCCAACTCGGGAGCCAGCCGGAACTCCGTTCCTGTGCGTTCCTGCCCAAAAATAGCCCTGAGGATACTTCCACATGATCTGGAGAGCTGAAATTTAGTCTACATACAATCCCCAGCATTTTGGTTAAAACTGAAGTTTGACGATAGCACGTTTTTCTTCTCAAAACTTGAGACTTGGTCAGTTAATAGTATCCGTGAGAGGGCAAGCCAAGCCAGACAAGTTTGTAGAGAAAAGATGTGGTGTAGTAATTAGTCGGACTAGGCATGGCATGGGGGGACCTGGCTTCAGATCCCTACTGTGCCATAAAGCTTACGGAGTGACCATGAACAAGTCACTCTCAGCCTGACCACGCAGGACTGTTGTGGGGATAAAATGAGGTGGGGTAAGGTGGGAAGTGTCAGGTAGACCTGTCATAGGTCTGGTATGTGGAGGGGTGCCCTTCCCGCTTCCTGTCTTCGCTCTCCCTGGCTCACCAACTGTTTGCTGTCTTATGCTTGACCTTGTAGATGCTCCAGCTGCAGTTTTACTCGGCTGGGAAAGTTAATGGCTTTTGATTTGCCTGCTTGCTTTGCCCGCACCCACGAGATGTACCCATTGGCTCATGATTACCGGGGGGGGATGTTTGATTCTAGTATAAGTTAGAGGCCCTAGTGTTGGTGGCCATTCCTGACACAAGCTGTACTCGTGTCTCTAGTTCTGGATTTACCAATAAACAGTTATCTTCTCATGAAGCTCTGTGTTGAGTAACCTGGCTAAGGACCCTGACAAGGAGAGCCGTGTGTGCTGTTCTGAGCTCCTTCAAGGAAGGGCGAGAAAAATTGCTAGATAGGAATGACCGTCTGGGAGCTGATCCCCCTCACTTAGTTAAACCAGAAAGAGGGAGATATTTGCAGAGCCAACCAGGAGGGTGACCATATTGTTACCCACACATACAGCAGAGTGGAGGATTTAGGAGTACCCCATTTGCTCTGTAAAAGATTCCTTGGCTTGATGATGAAAAAGGGATTTCCACCGGTAGCCGCAGATGGATCTGCTTGCACAGCAGAAGTTGTATTTGTGTGCGTGAGTGTAATAGAATCCGAAAAACATGACATAAAAACAAAAACTGTTGCGGTATCAAGAAGTACACCACCAGACCCAATAAAACCGTCATCTCGCTGCTAGCCTAGTTCAGCGAACGTCTGTCCAAACACACAAAAGTCTGAAGCTTCTTCCTAAAGGGTGATGACAGGCTCTGGCAGGTCTGGTTTGGGAAGGGAAGTTCTGCAGCGGCAGAGCCAGGAACACAGCGGGGCTTTAGAAGCCTTTCATAGCCAGGGCTTGGGACATTTTAGAGATGGCCTTCTCCCGTATATTCCTCTTCGCTGACTGGGGGTTGTTTGCTGACAGTTCCACTTGGGATCTGAGTGGTGGCCGGCCCAATGTTCCCTCTAAGCTGTGGAGTCCTGTGAGCAAAAACTCTACTTTGTGAGCTACTGGCATTAAAGTTGTGAGCGAGAGACGTGGCTACTGCATGAATTAGTTTGCTCTGGAGCCATCCTTCCTGAGCTAAGACGAAAATGTGTGGGCCAGAGGCTAAAAAACTGTGAGCTGGCTCACACTAACTCAGCTTAGAGGGAACACTGGTGGCCGCTGACACACTTTCTATGGTGATCTCCAGACTGTGGAGCCCAGTTACCTGCTGGGATTCAGAACCTGGCTTTTTTGACATGGGTCTTAAAGGCCTGCCTGTGTATTCATGCCAGTGGTCCCAGAAGCTGAGATTCTGGGAGATGTTTTTGCCTTTCAAAGATAGCAACAGTGTCTTTGCGGGGGTGGGGGGATAGTTTGAATGAGTAAAACCGTGTAGGGTTTCGAGGATTAACCCTTCCTTCTTTCCCTGTGGGGTCCTGATTTGGGGCTTCACACAGCTGCAGTTAAAACTTTCTATAAGGTTGGAAAGATCTGGACGTAGGTCTTCTGGTCTTGTCTACTTTGACTCTAAAATACTTATTGCTTGTAGATAAAGGTTTGCTGGTCAGGTATGGTTTTAGCTTCCGTCTGCTGTTTATATAGGTGATTTTATTGTGTTCATATGTTTTTGAACTTTGAAGTTTTTGGAAACGTTGTTGAAAAATGCATCAGACGTTGTCTAACTAAATGGAAACCGCCCTGCTCCACATCTAAAGTCTCTCCCACAGTGAGTGTAAGTGTGTTGATGAAGTCCATACAAGTGTGAGGTGTTCTCTAAGAGCCTATCCAGACGTTACGCAAGATGCACGTACAAGACCCAGAACTGTCATTTATTTTTTGATGGCTTTGGAACGAGGCTACTTGGATTTAGAGAAGTCGTGGTGGGACAGGATGCATAACCCTTTCCCCACCAGCTTTCTCTCCTCTCCCAGTCTCATTCTTCACCCTCTGTTTGCAGAAGCCCTGTAGAAAGAAACTGTGAAACACAGAATTAAATTACAGTGTTTGTAGTCAGAAGATGCGCTGATTTAAAAAGAGGGTTAGACAAATCCATGGACAATAGGTCTATCCATGTCTGTCAGCCACAATAGCTAAGTGAAGCCTCTACAGTCAGGGGCAGTGTACCTCTGAATATCATGCCCTTGTTGAGGACTTCCTTGGAAGTAGCCATTGGCCAGTTCTAGAAGAAGGTTCCCTGCCTAGATGAACCTTTAGTCTGATCCAGCAGGACCCTTCTCATGTTTTCTGCTTTACGTTTCTGTCTTTCAGGGGCCTCAGGGAGCTCGAGGTCCAGCTGGGCCTCTGGGAGAAATTGGACATAAGGTAGAGTATGACTTTATTTCTTCAATGGTCCAGTTTTATCTGCTGCTTACATTTTTATCCCATGCGTGGACCTTCCCTCCTCCATATTGTGTTGACTGGACTTTTTATTCCCTCCTCCATATTGTGTTGACTGGACATCTCTCTGGCGATTGCAGGAAGTGACTAGACGGTTCTCCTAACTCTGGCAGTCTCCAGCATTACGTCTTTAGATAGTGGTAGTTGGTGAAGAAGGTGAATCGTGATCCAAGAAATAGCCAGTCTGAAATCTTGACATGGCCACAAGTTCCCATGGGTGGCTTTTTGCAGGCCTTGCAGGGTCCCAGTCCACCAACCAAAGGCCACTTTGTGTACTGTTGTGGGTTGTCCACAAGTAATCCAAGGAATAGGTTGCTTTGGGTTGGAGAACCCCTTCTGATGCAACATTGCTGGGTATAAGATACTCTGAAGGTGACTTCCAGAATTCCTTGCCATGGGTGTAAAACGTTTGTTCAAAATGGATCTGACGTTACTGTAATACATAAGCATTTATTACATAATTTGTTTCTTCTTTTTCCGATCAAAACAAACACATCAGAGTGATTAACACCCAAGTAACATGCACGCAGGGCTCTTTTTGTAGAAAAAGCCCAGCAGGAACTCATTAGCATAATAGGCCACACCCAACAGCAGAAACTCATGAGCATATTAGGCCACACCCCTGACAGCACAGCTCATTAGCACATTAGCACAGCTCATTAGCACCCCCATGTTACCAGAAGTGTGGTCATCCAGCCATACCCACCTTTTGCTTCTTATTCTGTTGACCTTGTTTGTTGTCAAAACCCAGGGCCTTTTTTTTGTAGCAGGAACTCCTTTGCATTTTAGGCCACACACCCCTAATGTAGCCAATCCTAATGAGTCTCTGCTGTTGGGTGTGGCATATTATGCTAATGAGTTCCTGCTGGGCGTGGCCAACTTGGGAGCCATCTGGAACTCCGTTCCTGTGCGTTCCTGCCCAAAAATAGCCCTGCATGCATGTATAAAATGACTGGGTGATGCCACCTTACATATTCCTTGGTGGCTTATTTGGCTTTTGGGGTGGTGGGAGTAGGTGGCAATTTGTTCTCATTCCCCAAAATTGACTTCTTAATCACCGTAAGGCAAGGCCCAGTTTCTCAACCTGTGTTTCGACTGTACCGTTTTGGGAGGCGGGGGCTAAACAGAAAGAAGATCCTTACAGACAGGGGGGGAAACCATGTTAGTGAGAAGGCAACCTTAAACCAAGTTTGTCTTTTATGCCAGTTTTCTCTGTGGAGGGGATTTTTTGTTGTGCCTGTCTCACTGAAGGTCACACTCCATGTGACCAGATTCCGTGTTTGAAGCCTGCCGTTCCACCATATGTCTTTGTGTGTGTGTGAAATTTGAATTAGAGCGGCACCACCAGGGAGCAGATGGGTTACTGTTTTCCTCTCTGCTGTTCCTCCAATAAAAATGGCGGAAGTTGGTATTGCGTCTGTTGTTGGGACCCTCCCCACCCCCAGCTTCTGGGGTTAGTAGCAGTTCAGGATTATTTTTACTGGAGGAAATGGAGAAACGAGTTAAAGCTCACTCTGTCAGCCCCGTAGCGCTGTTCATCTTTTACTACCTTATGCTGAGTCAGAGCATTGGGCCAGTTTCCCCAGTATAGTCTACTCAGACTGGCAGCAGCTCTCCAGAATCTCAGGGCTGATCCACATGCTGCAGAATCCATGTGCCCACCACAACTTTGATTTGCACATGTGTGGCCACCACAACTTTGATTCGACTTTGATTCGCACATGTGCTCTGGGAGCTTGTACTTCCCAGGAACACAGGACTGATATTCCCATTGCAGCTGTGGCATGTGTGGAGCAGTGTTCCCTCTATGCTGAGTTAGCGTGAGCTAGCTCACAGTTTTTTAGCCTCCAGCTCACATATTTTTATCCTAGCTCAGGAAGGATGGCTCCAGAGCAAGCTAATTTATGCAACAGCCAAATCGCTCGCTCACATCTTTAATGCCAGTAGCTCACAGAGTAGAATTTTTGCTCACAAGACTCCACAGCTTAGAGGGAACATTGAGTAGGGGCTTCGGCCTCCCCTTCCCCCATGCTGTTCTTGTGAAATGTGCTCTTTGTGCTCTTTGCCCCCAGCGTGCCCAGCGTCATAACATCACTTCCTAGTGACGTGCACGCCGGGGGTGGGGTTCCCCCCGGGGCCCGATTCCGCAGCGGCGGAAGTCGGGCCTCCAAAGTGGGGGTTTACCCGCCCCCCCGCCCCCACTTGGCAGCCCTAGGTGGGCTGGAAGTCTCATGGTATCACAGCTGAGCTCCAGGTGACAGAGATTAGTTTGCCTGGAGAAAACAGCCACTTTGGAAGGTGGACTCTATGGTATTATACCCTCCACAAATGCCGCCTCCTTAGGCTCCACCCCCAAAAACTCCAGGTATTTCCTAACCCAGAGCTGGCAACCCTAGACACAGAGAGAGAAAGTGCACCATTGGCCAAGGTTACCCAGCATGCTTCATGACAGAGTCCACATCCAGGGCTCCACATTCCTCAGCCAACCGCTATATATCATACTGGCGATGATGGTGCGAAGGAGAAGCAAAGATCCCAGCAGAATTTGGCAGCATAGCTACCTGTTCCCTCCTTAGTACCAGAGAATTCTGGGAAATGTAGGCAGCTACTTTCTTCTGCCTCCATCTGGGTCTTGCTGGTCTGTTGTGCAGGCACATTGTTCACCTAATATACTTGTGTACCACGGTGACCGCCTGACCACTGCTGATTTGCTGCTTTTGTCTGCATGTGGCTCCCTCCGGATAGCGATGCCTTCTACTTTCTACCCAAATGTTGCTGCACAGGCCAAAAGAAAAGGGACAGGAAATACCTTTACTGAGGAATGCATTTCCTTCCATGTTCCCCGTGGTTATAGTGCGAGAGCAGCAGTCCACAGCAGCCCAGCAGGAACGCTTGCTGGGCTCTTAGCTGTCAGTACAGAGGAGGAGATAATTTAGTCCCCAGAAGTTTATTTATTTATTTAAAAAGAACATAAAGCCACTTTTTGTCATTCTTAGTTTACTTGGAGAACATATAATCCAACCTCTGTATTCGAAGAAAACTGAGAGCTTGAACTTAAAAACCAGTCACCTTCTTGGCTATTAGTAATCTGCAGGAAAAGTTAAAGTACAGCAGAGGGATGAATGTATACAGAGTAGAGCCTTCAGCTGTGTGTGTGCGTGGGTGGGGAGGTCTTGGCCAATGATCCTTCCTGTGAGAATTGGAGTGAACGCACAGGATCATAGATTCAGGTGGGTAGCCGCGTTGGTCCGAAGCAGCAGAACAAAGTTTGCATCCAACGGCACCTTTAAGACCAACAAAGTTTCATTCAGAATTCTTTTTAAAATGTTTAAAAGTCTGTGAGTTTTCAGTATACAGACTGAAAATGTCATTTCCTTCTTCAAAAGTTCCAGCACTTCTTTTTCAAGAAAAGAAAAGGCCCTGCTTAAAGGTGCCACTGGACGCAAACTTTGTTACATGGGATCATGTGCAGCTTTCTCCTTCTGAGTCAGACCATTGGCCTGTCATGGTTGTCTACTTTGGCAGCAGCTGTCTGGGGTCTCAGGCCAAGGCCTATCATGATCACCTGCTGCCTAAAACTTTGACCTTGGAGATTGCGGGGTTTGAACCTGGGACCTTCTGCATACCGAACAGGTGCTCTACCAATGAACTATGGACCTTGCCCCCTATGTATGCCCCAGTGTAACAACCAGGGGTCATTTCGTAGAAAAAGAGGTGCAGGAGCTAATTAGCATAACTCATTAACATAACTCATTTGCATATGCCACACACCCTGACATCACCGGAAGTGTGTCAGAAGGCAACACCCACTGCTCAGGCTCCACTGGACTGTTTTGGATTGCTAGCTATTTGGGCGGGGGGGAGAACGTGCAGATCTGTCCTCGCAGAGGAGGGAGAGCTTGTACCTGAATAAAACTTGGTCTTAAAGTCCCACTGGACTGTTTTGGGCTGGGGAGCAGGGGATGGGGCTTGTTGCATGTGCCCGCCCCCTGGTCTCTTTACTGCCGGAGCTCTGCTCCTGTGCGCTCCTGCAGGAAATGACCCCTGGTTACAACTGTTTTCATCAGTAAAATGTTGGAGGGCTTGAGTGGGGCTGTCAAAAATAACACCAGACCCATGGTATGTGGTGGTCCTTGGCCTGTCCCACCCCCATGCCTTTTTAAAAAATCCTGTCCTTCCTTTGAGGATCAAAGGGTAGCATATGCCCTGTTAGCCGCCCTGAGCCTGTGGGGAGGGCGGGATAGAAATCTAAATAATAAATAAATAAATAAATATGCAGTTCTGCTACTTTGGGGTCAGGAAGCAATTTTTCTCCAGGCCGGTTTGGCCAGGGTTCCTGGAGGTTTTTTGTCATCTTCTGAGGGTGGGACAGCGGTCACTGCGGGTGTGGAGGGGGAGGTATTTGTGAATTTCCTGCATTGTGCAGGGGTTGGACTAGATGACCCTGGAGGTCCCTTCCAACTCTATGACTCCCTTTTAGCCTCACGATCTTCACAGAACAGGTGAGGTTGAGAGAATCACCCAGTGAGCTACATGGCTGAGTAGAGGTTTGTGCCCCAGTTTTCTAGTCCTAGTCTGTTATATTAATCACCACACAGGGAGTTGGGCTTAAAATTCTAATAAAGTACAGGTTTCATATCCCCTGCCCACCCCAATGTTTGGCTGAGCCACTTCTGATGTGCTTGGTTTTCTGCCTTGTTTGTTTTTTGTGCTGATCCCATTAAAAGGCTGCATTTTATTGGGGACGTTTTTGGCTCATGGTGTGGCTGGGAAGGCACACGATGCAGTGAAATAGCTGGGTCTGGGTCTGATCAGTGCCGGATGGAAACCCCCTGGGAATCCCCAGTGTTCTGCCTTGAGTTCCCTGGTGGAAGAAAGGAGGTATCGGTACAGTGAATGGATGTTTTCTTTCTTGCGAATGGGGTTTTGATGGTGTTGTTCTTGTGTAAACACCCTCGGGGAACAGCAGGCCGAGAGAAGAGATCTGCAAATATTTTGAAGAAAGAAAGAAAGAAGACTGCAGATGGGCAATGTGGTTCTGGTGTGCAGATGTTGTTCCCGGCTAGAGTGGTACATACAAATGAGACTTTAAAAATGTTACTCCTCACCACATGGCTCGTCTCTGCCTGGGGAAGGACTTTTGGGCAGCAGCCACGGGCGAAGAGAAACATTTTAGTCAGCTCTTGAACATCGTAAAAAGCAGAGTTTCTGTCCCTCCCCCCCAGCAAGTCATAGCCACAATGTGCTAGTTTTAATACAACTTTTCTCCCCGGGGACCTGCAGCCTCTCCATGCCTAAAGTAAGGCCTGCTAGGGAAGGGCCCACAGCTCAATGCTAGAGTTCATGGCTTGCATGCAGAAGGTTCCTGATGCAAGCCAAGGCATCCCCAGCAGCTGCAGTGGCGGGGAAGACCATCACCTAAGGAAGAACCCACTGCCCCAGTCAAAGTGAGTAAGGGCTGGGCAAGGTGGGCCATAAATGTGCTTTGCATGCAGCAGGTTCTGTGGCTGATCCCTGGCTTCTGTATGCAAAAAAGGATCTGAGAGAGCTGGGAAAGAGGACCACTCTCAGGCAGGGGTCATTTCCTGCAGGAGCACACAGGAGCAGAGCTCCGGCAGTAAAGAGCCCAGGGGGCGGGCACATGCAACAAGCCCCACCCCTGCTCCTTCTCTCCCGCTTTCTTTCTCGCCTTCCCTCCTTCTTTCCTTCTATTCCTTTCCTTCTTTTTCTTTCTTTTCCTCCTTTTTTCCTTCTTTTTTTCCCTCCTTCTTTCCTACTCTCCTTCTTTCTCTCGTTCCCTCCTTATTTCTGTCTCCCCCTCTTTCTTTCCCTCTTTCCTTCCTTCTTTCCTTCTCTCCTTCTTTCTCTCTTTCTCCGTGCGTGAGGGCAGATCTGTGCATTCCCCCACCCCCAGCTAGCAATCCAAAACAGTCCAGTGGCACCTTTAAGACCAAGTTTTATTCAGGTACAAGCTCTCCCTCCTCTGCGAGGGCAGATCTGCATGTCCATCCCCCTCCCCCATAGCTAGCAATCCAAAACAGTCCACTGGAGCCTGAGCGGTGGCTGTTGCCTTCTGATACACTTCTGGTGATGTCAGGGGGCGTGGCATATGCAAATAAGTTATGCTAATGAGCTCCTGCACCTCTTTTTCTATGAAATGACCCCTGCTTTCAGGCATCTATTTGTTCATTTGGTTTATCTCTCGCGCAGCCTTACAACAGGTTTCCCAAATTTATTTCTATCCACGAAGGGCTCACAGTCTAAATTGCTATATATCTTGGAGTGTTCCTCCTCTATAGCACCAGCGTCAACTATTAGTGGAATCCATTGGAAATGATGCATCAGGCTATTGTGCACTGGGCTTGGTGGGAAGCAGAGTTCTGTCCCAAGTGTGACAATGTCCTTGGAGTGGACTGTGGCTAAAATCCTAAGAACATTTTCCTAGGAGTAAGTCCCAGTGACTAAAATTGGATGTATTTCTGAGTAGGCCTGCTTATTTAGGGTTGCCAGGTCTACTTACCCAGCCAGCGGGGGGTGGGGGAGCCTTCTGGGAGTGGGGAGGCCAGGGTGCTGTGGCTGTGTGTGATATTGTCAGCGTGGTCATCAGATTCAGCACGTCACGTGGCAGAGTTCTAGCATTCTGGGCCAAAATGCTAGAGCGTCGCCGTACAATGTGCCTGGAGTGATGACATCACTTCCGTGTGATGTCATTGCACCAATGGCATTGACATGGGAGGGGGCTGTTCGGGGGGAGGGGGACTGGCAACGCTAGCATTGCTCCCTGTACTGGGCAAGTTGGACTTGGTATAATGCATTTTCATATGTAAGTTCACATGCATTCCAAATAGTAGCTCACCTTTAAACTTCTAGAGGGTTTGGGTCCACCATACCAGGGTGAAGGTCCCTGTGACTGTAAAGGCCCTACTCATTGTCTCATTGCCCTTGGAGGCTCAGTAGGCAGTCATGTGACACCAGGCCTTCTTAGCCGTAGCGCAGAGACTTTCAAACTCCACCCCCAAGAATGTTCCTTCTAAGGACTGGTCAGTATGCTTTTTGATTGAGGTTGTGATGTTGATGGCAGGAATATTCTGTTAATGCTTGATACTGAATTTAGCAAAGGTTCCCCCCATTACGGCTTTCTGTTTTATCCTTGATTTTTATGTGCAGATTGTTTTGGAAGTTTTATTGTTGTTCTGTACCTTATGGTACGTTGCATTTTAATTTCTCGTCATAAGCTTCTTTGATAGTGCTACTGGAAAACTAAATATATATCTACATAGATATCTATATCTTTGTATAATGATACGGGTGCATATAAAAGATATTTTTAAATAACTGAATGTGCTGCAGTGCTTGTGAAAGGGAACAAACAAAAAAACCCTAGAAAAACATTTGAAAGAGCTTGCCAAATGATCTCTTGGGATGGGAGTTTCTTAAATCACAGGTTTTAATTTCGGTCCATGCTTTAGTGCTGAGGGGGGAGAAGAGATATAAGAATTTGCAAGAGGTGGAAAGGAGTTCCTCTTCTCTGTCAATAAAATATCGTGGCTTATTGCTAGGAACAATGTCGCTTCCTTGCAGGAGAGGTGCTAAATCCATGGGAAATAATCTGGTTTCCCCCTGTTCTGTGGTTCAATAAATGAGTCATCTGAAAAGGCCTTAGATGTTTTCAGCATGACTACTAAGATGTAGATGCAGCAGCTGATATTAATATTGCTGGAAGAGAGGGCTGGGAGAGGGCTCACATTAATTTCACAATTGCCCTCTCATTCTTTACAGACATGTGCTTGTTGCCCTGATTCTTCACTCTTGTGTGATTTTGCTTGCACCAAGTAGGTCTGTTAGAGGCCTTTGTTTTGCACCCTGTTTAATCACTGGGAAAGATAGCACTTCGTTTGCATCCTACACCTAGCTGGGGTGAGAAGGAGGTTGCATGACTTGGCTCCGTGGATCAAACTGTATATGACCCAGGTCTGTTTCCGGCCACATGGTCAGCTCCTGATAAATGCCAGGGGTTAGTGTTAGTCTGATAAACGAGATGTGGCTAATTAAACAAGGGATGGACGGTAATGGAAATGCAGATAGGGCAAGGTTAGTGTGATTCAGGAAAAGGTCTGTTGAAGAAATCAGACAAAATGGTAATAGGAGAGGGAGGATGCTGGGCAAACAGAGAGAGACTACAGCAGGCTAGGGAACAAAAAGCAGGAAAAAGTGGACTGGGAGGAGTTGAAAGGGTGCATGTGTGTAGAGGAGAGAGAACAGGAAGGTGTGTAGCGGAGAACAAAGATGGACTCTCTGTGCTCTGCTTATCTTAAAACCCAGCTGAGGAAGTAATTATGCCATCACTCCTCTCTCTCTAACTGCTTTGCTGTACAAATTCTGGCTTTGATCTTGGTCTCTATTTAGCTAACAATGGCTGTTAATTTCCCCCCCCTCTCCAGGGACCTCCTGGCTCTGCGGGGCAACGTGGCCTTCCAGGTGAACCAGGCATGAAGGTAAGAAATGCAAACATCTCCCCCACCCTGCAGTTCCTGTGTCACAGGGGTACAGAATGGTCGCCTTTGTTCCCTCACGGCCTTCAGGTTATGTTTGACTGAAGATGGAGGGAGGGGCGGAGCATTTGCAGGCAGCTTAGATGGGTTTCCGGAGTCAGATCATTCCGGATATGGGCTGACCCTGTGTAAGCATCCAGTCAGCCATAGCGGAAGATTACATTTGTTTATATAGATCTGCTAGGGTTGCCAAGTCTGTCCTCGTTGCGGAGCGGGGGACTCCTGGGTTGATCCTGGAGCGCGTGCGCGCGCCGCATCCACGTCACCAGGAAATGACGTGATGCCGCCGGCCACGCTGGGGGCGGGGCCACGACCATCCGAGGAGGAAACATAGAGTTTTCCCTTGGATGACCATGGCCCCGTCCCCAGCATGCCCAGCGTGGTCCTGATGACGTGCACATCGGGGTGGAGTTCCCCCTGGGGCCCGATCCGGCGGTGGCGGGGAACGGGCCTCTGGGGCGGGGGTTTCCCTGCCCCCCAGGGGGACTTGGCAAGCCTAAGATCTGCACTGCGGTGGCTGCTGTGTGCTCTCACGAAAGTCAAATATATTCCTAACAGGTTTTTTTTCCCCAGAGGCTCAGACCTGAGAGTAGGTGAGGACCAGTGTTTCCTCTAAGCTGAGTTAGTGTGAGCTAGCTCACTTTTTTTTAGCCTCTGGCTCATGCATTCTTGTCTTAGCTCAGGAAGGATGGCTCCAGAACAAACTAGAGATGTGAAGGCCTGGAAAAATTCGGGGGGAAAACCTGTTTTCCCCCCATTTTTTTTCCTGAAGCCTTTTTTGTTTTTTTCCAAAAAATTGGAAAAATTGAAAAAAGAAAAGAAAAAAATTGATTATGGAATGTTTTATTTTAACATGCTGAATAAAATATTTTAAGACAGGATGTTCAAATATTTTCAAATCATTTCTAAAAATATGTATGGTATCAAATTGATCTAATTTTTGTGCACTGAGGACAAGCAAGTCCTAGGTTACAAACTGAACTCTCCAATGCAAGAACAAGATGCATGTCTTCCTTTAGGAGGTGCTATTGTCACAAGAAAAGAAACAGGTTTCAGTTTTGTTTTTGCATGTGGGTGGGTATTCTGTTTGTAATAATTGTTTGGATACACTATATTTTTAATATGCTAGTTGTGATAATTTCATGCCAAGTAAAAATGTCCATAGTCATATTTTATGTTCCTAAAGTAACAGAATGACTTTCAATCTAGAAAACAAAAGAAATGCTACAACTTTAATGCCAGGAGCTCACAAAGTAGAATTTTTGCTCACAAGACTCCACAGCTTAGAGGGAGTATTGGTGGGGACCTTGGGCATCAAGCACACTGAAGGCTAGAAGTCTGTCAGTGTGTGTGGGAGAACCTGGTCTCTCCCCTGCCTCATGCCTGTACTGTGACCAGTTGCCTGTATTGAGGGAAGTGACCTAGGGCTGCCAAGTGGGGGTGGGGGCGGGTAAACCCCCGCTTTGGAGGCCCGGTTTCTGACGCCACGGAATCGGGCCCCGGGGGAAACCCCACCCCTGCGTGCGCGTCACCAGGGAGTGACGTGGGCACGCCGGGCATGCTGGGGACGGGGCCACGGCCATACAAGGGAAAACTCTATGGTCTTCCCTTGTATAGCCGTGGCCCCGCCCCCAGCGTGCCTGGTGTCCTCCCGTCACTGCGGGGTGACGTGCGTGCGGCGCACGCGCGCACACACCAGACGCCGGCCGGAAGCCCCCCGCTCCTGGCGAAGACACACTTGGCAACCCTAAAGTGACCAGTTGCCTGTACTGAGGGAAGACAACAGGTTTAGGAGTCAAGTACAGGATTCAGATGTAAACCTTAGTTTATATTTACTTACTTCATGTATACCTGCCTTTCTCCCCAATGGGGCCCAAAACAACTTGCATCGTACTCCTCTCCTCCATTTTTTTCCTCACGGTAGTTCCATGAGATAAATTTGGCTGATAATGTGTGACTGACCCACGGTTATCAAGCAAGCTTCCCTGGCTGACTGGGGATTCGAACCCCTGTCTTCCAGATCCTAGTCCAGCACTAACCACCACACCACACTGGTTGAATTGTATCAGTTTGCTGATGAATCAGTGAGCCCAAAGGTGATCCTCAGACTGGCATGGTCTGCCTCTGTCCTCGCCTTCATGTGGCTATCTAATTGTCCACTTCTGCTTTTGTTGCAAACTGTAGTTTGCTGTTTGTCCAGACCTGCAGACTATGTGTGATTTGTAGCCCTCAGTGTAATATTGAACCTTGGGAACTTTAGTATATGAATATCTCCTCCCTACCTGAACTCTTAAAAGAAGGGTTGGTTTTTCCCCCCTCCGCAGTATGCTGTTGGCGCTTGTCTCTAAAGGGCTGCTACAGAGAGATTATCAGAATTTATTTGGGGATTAAATTCTTTTTCCTCTTTGACTGCCTACTTTGACTGCCCCCCCTCTTTGACCCCCCCCCCCCGCTCTATTAGCCATGGCAAACCTTCTAACACATTGCTGGAGCTACTGTTTCTTTGGACCCCTGGTATCCCTCTAAGATTTCAGCTCCAAAGTTTCCGCTAGCCGGCTGGCAGCCCAGTTAACCTTCTCCAGGAAGAAAACCCCACTGATTCACCTTGGTCCACCAGTGTTCCCATCAGCAGGACTCACCAGGAGCATAGCATGCTCCTGTAGTGAGCAGGAAATGGATGACTGTATTCACTGGAAGACTTTTTTTTCTGGTCAATCTGGTTAGCTCAAGAAATGTTCATTTATCACAAGTGTGTTGTTATTCCTGGTCTTCTGCAAGGAAGCTCTTCTCACGTGGGAGAACATCCCAGCAGTCCAATGTTCCCTCTAAGCTGAGTTAGTGTGAGCTAGCTCACAGTTTTTTAGCCTCCAGCTCAGACATTTTTGTCTTAGCTCAGGAAGGATGGCTCCAGAGCAAACTAATGTATGCAGTAGCCAAATCACTTGCTCACAACTTTGATGCCAGTAACTCACAAAGTAGAATTTTTGCTCACAGGACTCCACAGCTTAGAGGGAACATTGCCCCGCACTGAAATACCAAATCGGGAATATTGGGGCTAAAGTGGAAAGGTCATTGAGTTGGTTTCTGCATGATGATGGGTAAGGTCCCCTGGCTCGCTTTGCAATTTGCTTGCTTTTATCTACTTGCCTTTGAGAACTCTCAGGGGGAAAACCCCACAGGCATTTAGAAGGCTTGGAACATTGGCCCACCAAGGGGAGCTTCCCACTGGGCCTTCCAGTCAGCATGCTTCCCTCCGCCCACCCCAATCCCCAAATTAACCCTTGCAACAGCATAGAGTGGGGACAGCTGGAAGGAGAACAGTGAGGAGAACTGGCTGGCAATAGCAGAGACCTTGTAGACCTGGATACTTTGCCTCTTAGACGTGTGGGGACAGTGATTTCCAGTGGCCCTTGGTTCAGTGCATTGGATTGGGAGGCAGTGGCAAATGCCAGTCGCAGTTCTCACATGTCCAAGAACCGATGGAATCGTGCAGTCCTTAAGGATGAGACCTGCAGTTGTCAGTAGACCCACCTCACCATTGGGCTTTCCCCTCTATCTTGCAAGGGTGAGTTTGTGTAGAGCAAGGGTGTCGAACTCATTTGTTATGAGGGCCGGATCTGACATGTGTGTCATAAAATGTAATGCCAGGTAGCAGAGATATAAACTTTATAAAGGACACAAACACAAAGATTTTTTTTAACTTAAAATAAAAACACGCTTAAAACATTAGCTCTGTAAGCTGCAAACCTACTTTTGATTTATTGACATTCACCACAGAAATCTCATGCTCAGAGTTCTGAGTCTAGGACCCAGGTTAAAGCATGAAAAGGCTGAGTGATTAAGAGAGACTGGCGAAGCAAGCAATGATGCAGCAGCAGCAGAACTGGAAGCAGGAGATGGCCAGTTCTACTGTGGGCCTGACGGAAGCCCTCCAGGGGACTGATCCGGCTCCCAGGCCGCATGTTTGACACCCCTGATGTAGAGGGTACAGGGAAGGCTGGCTGGCAACACGCCTGTTCAAGTTGAGCCCAAACTTCAGTTGTGGATTCAGCTCATAATATAATTGAGAGGAGCAAAACTTTTAAGTTTCTCCATTAGCGGTGGTCCCTTTCTGAACTTTGGACACATCACTGTTTGTGTGTGCATAAACCAGTTGTCCTGGCACTCCTGTCCAAAGAGCAGCCCTGATGGAAAACGCCTAAAGGTATTCTGTAGCTTATGCTGAGAGTGAGTGCAGAGGAAGTCTCCCATGGGAATCAGTCTGCGGCTCGTCAGCGTCCTGAATCAGAATGGCTGGTTGCCCCCCTTCTGAACATTTGGAAGGAGTGGCGGATCTGTATTCTGATTTCCGTTTGTCCAGGTGGAGTGGCAGGATGGTTTATTTTCATGCCAAGACAGAAACAGCCATGAATCCCACAGCAGGAAGTACCTGTTCTATGAGACAGTGTCTGGCATAAAGTCAGCAATAGCATGGAGAGGAAAATGCCCTGCTGTTTTAGTAGAGGCTTACTGTGATGTTATTTAGCAGGTGATGTTGTGCCATGAAAAGCTTCTGCTGTTGCCAGGTTTTTTCCCTCTGGGTTGTTGGCAACCCTAGCCCAGCATCACAGAACCTAAGCAGGAAATCCCAAAACAGAGATGTTACCGAATTTCATAGTTTTACTCTTTTGACTCAATCTCCATTGCTTTTGCCTTGTGTAAATTGAACCTATGATTTGTCTTTTTTTTTTTGTGCCCTGATTTTAAAAAAATATTTACACAACTTTAATGTTGCTATTTAGGGATGCCACCTCTGGGTTGGGAAATTCCATGGGGGTAGACCCTGAGGAGGGCGTTTAGTGGTAGGCTTACCAAGTACTTACCTTGAATCAGCGGGGGAGACATATGTCTTGTCAGGAACATTCCAGCGTGGAAAACGAACGCACTACACCATACCGTCGCCCAGACGTGACGCCAGCACACTAGGCATGTAGGTGGGCGACACTCTGGCAATGGAGCTGGAAACTCGATGGTACCATCGAGTTTCCAGCTCCATTGCCAGAGCGTCACCCAGCTACGTGTCCAGCATGTTGCCGTCAGGTCTGGACGATGGCACGGTGCAGCGGGGATGTGTTCCACCGAGGGATGTTCTGGCCGGGAACCATTTGCCCCCCACCAAATCGAAGGTAGGTACTTGGTAACCCTATTCAGTGGGGATGTGAGGCCATAGAGTCCCCCCTCCAAAACGGCCATTTTCTCCAAGGGAACTGATCTCAATAGACATCAGTTGTAATTCTGGGAGTTCTCCAGGTCCCACCTGGAGGTTGGCAGTCCTATTGTTATTACATCATTTCATATAAAAAACCCAAATTAATTAGGAACACCAGCAAATGAAAATGGGTGAAACAGAAAGGCCCACAATGACAATGTACATGAAAATTGCAACCCGTGCTGGGTGATCAGGTGACCCCGAGGAGCCAATCTGTGTGTTGCTGCCTGCTGTAAAACTCTAAGATCTGCAACACTCTAATCAGTCTAGGCCAGTTATTGCCAAGGGGCATCTCAAGGCTTCCTTTCCAGACTGCCGACGTTCGAATGTGGAGAAAATGTTATGCTTCGGAAACATTGAACAAAAATTAATGAGATCCATCAAGCTCCACCCCAGCATGCCAGGTTCTGCCCCTTACCTTCAAAGGTTCTTCCATTGAGTCATAAAGTTTCAGCCTTGATTGATCAGACAACCCTATTTCATAAGCCTCTTAACATTTCTTTTCTGAAGCTGCCCTAAAAAGCCCTAATCTCTATGTTTTTATAGGGTGATATTGGACCACTTGGGGTCCCTGGAGAACAAGGCCTCATTGGTCAAAGGGTAAGCGAATATGCCATTACCTCAATGCATAAACTTTAAGATGCTATTTACAGTCCAGGTAAAGCCTGTGAAGGAGTATTGAGATTGAAGTAGCCACTTTTTCATAACTTCTATGAAATTCTTTCTCAAGTGTTGTTTTACCGGGAGGTGGACAGGCCATGGGAAACAGTCCCGGAGACTCGAGCATCCCCAAACCCCTCCCTCAACGACGACTGAAACGCAGAGGGAAATCGGAGGAGATGGGGCCGAAGGAGCGGTCCGGCATGGACGACGCTCCTCTACCTAAAGGGGGGAGGGCCCGGTTGAAAGACAGAGGTAATTGGAGGGCCCCTGCCTTACCCCTCACCCTCAGAAAGGAAGAGACAGCGAGCGGCAGTCACGGCATCCGAGACGGAAGTGGGCACTCCCCTGCATGCATAACTCCAAGCTAGAGGGACGGGGATTGAAAGGGAGGCAGGAAAAGAAGGAGAAACACTAAGAGATTGGAGAGTGTGGTGATGGGCGGCGGGAAGAGGCTATGGGCTCAGGAAGAGCTTGAGGGTTGTGTCCGTAAGTGACGGGAGAGGAGATAAAAGGAAGGAAACGGAAAGTGCCGGGGAGGAGTTCAGAGATAATCGCACAGCCAAGGCAGAGAGAGGGTGGGAAAGCGATTGCTCTGAGAAAGGTGTCTGGAGTGTGACGCAACACCCAGCCCTTTCACATCTGAGGCGCTTGTTTCCTTCTGCGATCTCTCTTCCAAAACGGCGACAGGATTTTCAGGGCTCAGGGATGACCCTGAGCACGACAAAAATGTAGCATACTTATATATTTAGGTTGTGAGCAACTGAGCTCTGGCCCAAATAGAATTTAGCCTAATGCTCCCAGCCTGGTTATTCCTGCTATGCAATTGCAGTAGAATGAGGCAGTAGCATCCTGAACTACAGAGAGGACCGGTTCAGGTGGGTAGCTGTGTTGGTCTGAAGCAGCAGAACAGAATCTGAATCCCGTGGCACCTTTAAGACCAACACAGTTTTATTCAAGAGCCCTCATCAAAGAAGTGGGAGTGCCTCTGGGCAGGGCTAAAATTCGCCTTATACATTGATTTTGAATTACCTCCAAGTTAGCCAAAATATCCTCCTTCCAATTCCAAACTTCAACTCCATATAAAAGATGGAAAACATAGAGTTTTTCCCTCAAATGGCTGTGGCCCTGCTCCCAGCGTGCCCGGCGTCATCACATCACATCCGGGTGACGTGCATGCGGCACTCAAGACGTCACATCCGGGTGACGTGCACGCGCACTCAAGACGCCAAACGGGAACCCCCCGCCGCGAGGTAAGAGCCATTTGGCAACCCTACTACAGGGAGGGCTATACCACTAGAGAGGACTGTTGTCACTTCAGGCCACATGTAGCTCATCAGGGAGACTGGGAAGCAGGAACAACTGTTACCTATGTGCTAGCATTCTATTTGAAGGGAGTTGTTTTTCGTAGGGGAACATTAAAATCAACAACCCTCTGATTCCCTGCCTGCAGTGTGAAGTGATGTAGTCAGATCTCACAGTGCAATCTTAAGAACACTTTCCCAGGAGTAAGCCCCACTGAATAGACCAGAGTAGGATTCAGAGTAGACCATAGGATTGCTCTCTCTGTCCGCTGCCTTGTAGGGCAGGAGGTTCTAGCTGAGCCACTTGGAAGTTTCAAGAGGAGGCCATGTGCCTTACCTCCATTTTCAGTTTCATCCTAATGAAGCACATCCTTCCCCTCCAGAATGTTTCTAATTGTACTGTAATTCTTTTAATATCCCTTGAAATTCCTGTGGCTGTAGTGCCTGACCGAAATACCGTGTTTTTGGCAACAGCACAATAGACTATGACCTGTTTACAAACATATCCTCTGTATGATCCAGGACAAAATTTACAAATGTGTAAAGAGACAGCACACACTTGTCTTTTGCCAGCTTGGTGAGCTGAGCTCATTCCTGAGCCCTTAGTTGCTGCGAACTAAATACTAAACATACAGTTTCACTTTAAGCGCTCATGTTGACATCGCCTGCACCTTCACTTGGTAACCCTGAAGTGGTGCATCTGAGGGCCAGCCTAGGATGCCCTGGGACTACCATTCAAGTCCTGCTGCGGGTAACGGAGGTCTGTGTGTTTCTTGCAGGGGGAGCCAGGCCTGGAAGGTGACAGTGGCCCACTTGGACCAGATGGACTTAAGGTAAGCGACAGCTGCTTTCGTGTTTTTACATCTCACTTCCTCCGCATCTTCCTCTGGGAGGAACTTAAAATGGGAACCTTATACTAAGTCAGACCTTGGGCCCATCTAGCTCAGAAACTGTCCCCTGATTGCTGGCAGCTCTCCAGAGATTCGGGTAGAGATTCACAACACCTGCTGTCCGAGATACTTTAAGTGACCCTGTGCACACTCTGTGTGCAAATCATAGGCGCAGCCGCTGAGCTATGGGTATACTCCTTCCAGTGACATGAAGGTTTCGTATACCAGATCAAATGTGTGTTTAGTCCATCTAGTTCAGTATAACCTACTCTGCCAGCAGCTGTCCAGGAACTCAGGCAGGGAAAGTTCTTCCCTAAGTACTGCTGTCTGTGAGAACCTTCAATTGGAGATACTAGAGAATGAACTTGGGCGCTTCTGCATGCAAAACAGGTGCTCTAATGCTGCGTTATGGCCCATTATGGTGCCATGACATCTCTAAAGAAGCTGCCTTGTACTGTTGGTCTTTCTAGCACAGTGTTGTTTTCTGGGTCTGTCAGTGGCTCTCGAAAAGAGAAATGCCTTTCTCAACACCTGCCACCCGAGATCCTTTCAGTGACCCTGGGATGTTCAGCATGTAGGTGTTCAGCCTTTAAGCCATGGCCAAAGTACTGCGAGCCAAGTCGTGCCCTCTGGAATATAACATTTTCTTTGTGTCATTTATAAGCATCCTAGAGGAGATTTGCGCTGGGAGAAAATTTCCCAGTCACATATCCTCTCTCCTTTCTCTGTGATTCCTTGCAGACTCCCATATCATCTCTTTTCAGAGCTAAACCAGTGACCATCACCACACCTAGATGCAGTGAGTTCCCTTAACAATGTGTCTAAACCAGTGACCATCACCACTCCTAGATGCAGTGAGTTCCCTTAACAATGCATCCATGAAGATCTTTTTTGCTCTCTGTCCCGACCCTACTGCCAATCCATTTTGTTGGATGACCCAGAGTTATGAGTGCAAGAGAAGTCTCTCACTCGCTCTGCTTTCTTTACACCATCTATTGTTCTATAAACCTCTGCTCCTTTCGTACCTTTGTCGTCTAATGGTCCTCCTTCCTCTCTGGCTGGTTTCATCCTTCGGATACATTTAAATAATGCTTTATGGGTTTTGTTTATATCTTCAAGGAGTCGCTTTTCCAGTTCCTCCTTCGTTTTGCCTTGTTGCCAGAATATGTTTATGTTGCTGGACTGTGCTCCCTTTTTTGTTGTTTTCTGCCTTGTAAGCAAAGTGTTCACTTCGTAAAGAAAGCTTTCGTGCTTCTTATAGACTCTTTTAAGCTTGGCTGTATCGGTATCTCTTTGAGCTTGCGTGTAGCGTCCTAGTTCTGCGGTACGCATTTTATCTCAGCCTCTCACGGTGACCTTAAATAACCTCTTAATTTCTGGGAGGGACCTGATCCTCCTGGCCATCTCATTGAGTCTAGAGATGTGCCCCATCTTAGGAGAAGGGAGGAGGCTGCACAGACCCCCCTTCCCAGGTGCCTCGCCATCACCAGATGAGACCTTTCCATTTGTGCAATCAGAACCTCCTTCCACGAAGAACTCGCCACCCATCGCTGCCCATTCACAGGGAGTCTTCAGCCCACCCCACTTTACAGCCTGACTAAACTAGAGTGCCAGTGTGGTATACTTATTTATTTATTTTATTATATTTCTATCCCGCCCTACCCTGCGAACGGGCTCAGGGCGGCTCACAGTTAGGGCACCATGTGCCAAGTATACAACATATAAAACCTATAAAACAAATAAAAACAGCAGTATGTTACAATAAAGTAAAAAGGTAAAGGTAAAGTTTCCCTTGCTCGAAAGCCAGTCGAATCCAATTCTAGGGTTGTGGTGCTCATCTCTGTTTCAAAGCCGAAGAGCCAGCGCTGTCCGAAGACGTTTCCATAGTCATGTGGCCGGCATGACTAAACACCAAGGCGCACGGAACGCTGTTCCCTTCCCACCGAAGTGGTACCTATTTATCTACTTGCAATTTCTTGCTTTCGAACTGCTAGGTTGGCAGGAGCTGGAGCCAGAGACGGGAGCTCACTCCGTCATGCGGCACACTCGGGTCTTGAACTGCTGAACTACCGACCTTCCACAGCCTGCAGTTCAGCGTCTTAACCACTTGAGCCACCGCAGCGCCACAATAAAGTGCTCGGTGGCTAATCCATCGGGTGGTGTATTAGATGTAACACAAAGTCCCTGTTCAGTGATAATTGGTCCATAGTGCTGAGTGGGGAAAGCCTGGATCACACCCAGTCGCTTTCTCTTGGCCTACCTCACACTGTTGTTGTGAGGATAGCATGGATAAGAGGGGAACTAGTTACATGACCCTGCTCGTGGCAGATGGATCTCAGTGTACGTCTAAAAACGGAGCCCTGCTACTAATCAGGAACTTGTCGCTAATCTCTTAGCTGATACTGATCCAAATGTGACATTGGTAGTGGCAAGGTTTTTATCTGTAACCCTGGGTAGTATTAAATGAATTGACTCTGTCCATGTTAGGTGGTTAATATGTATTTGGTAAACTAAATTGCATTATTCTGTGAAACTGTAAACTGTAAATTGTAATGTATTATACGTATGTATGTACGTTGTACTCCATCGTACTTTGTATATTTGCTTATGACATATTGGTCTATGAGCAATAAAATGAATTGACTTGACTTACATGACCCTTAGTAGAAGGGGGGGGGATAAAATATCGTCGATAGAGAATAGACAGACAGGATCCACTGCTGAATCATCCTGATTTGTGAGATCTTCTAGGTTTCGGGGGGGAGGGGAGTCCTATCAGGAGGGACCTGTTGAAATGAAAGGGTGAGAAAGGAAGGATGTGTTCTGTCCTCTGACTGTAACATCAATAGTTCTTTCCAGTGACCTGTCGATTGTATGGCTTTTGAGGGAGACAGAAAATTCAGTTCATCCATTTTGCTTTTTCCAGGGAGACAAAGGTGAACCAGGACCAGAAGGGGAAAAAGGAGAGAAAGGTCAAGAAGGCGTAAAAGGAAAAGAAGGCCCGCCTGGATATCCCGGAGTCTCAGGTGTCCGAGTAAGTGGACAGAATCGCTTTTCCCCTTCTTTTTTGGTCTTTCCATTCTTGTGTGTAGAGGCCATAAATGAAGTTCCTTTTGCCCCCCCCCCAATGGGTACACCTTTTCCTGATAAGAAGCTCAAGATGACAGGGCTGAATATGTGCCACAGAGTGAGGTGGTCAAGTCCTGAGGTGGTCGGATGGGCTGGACCAATTCAGATTGTGAGTAGGAGGTACCGTTCTTAAAGGCTCTCCTGTGTTAAAAAACCAGCAACACTTGCAAGTAGAAAACCAGCAGAACAGGGAATAGGCTAGGCTAGGACTGTTCTCCCAGGGAAATTTTTTTTTTAACTTGTTGGGAGTTTTAAATGAGGAGAAATTCTGGCTACAGCCTGAAGCTCTGCAATCCAGTCTGCTGCTTAAGGATTCTTCCACAGTCTGCCACTTGTGTAGATCAGGTCTTAAGCACATCAGTAAATTACTTAACGACACCTTAAGAACTGTTGGATTTGCTCATACTTCAATGGGTTATTTTAGCACCACATCCCGCCTCAAGAGGTCCTTCAGTAATTTCTTTAACTGGACACTTTCTGCCATTTGCTCCCATGAGCTGATTTGGTTGGAATTTACTTGCCAGTGGATTCGTGTGGATTTTATAGGAAAAAATGTTAAGCAGGAACCAGCATGTGCCCTCTCTTCTCTTGCATGAGGCTCTTGTCTGCAAAATCCACCTGCCATTTCCCTTCCAGGGCAATGATGTTTTGTGTGGATTCTTTCACAGTGTCAGAGGGCTGTCTCTGGGCACCTCATATGTTGTTGGATGAGGAGCATTTCTCAAAAGGGGCACTACTACTGATGGTGGCCTCTGTAATTTTATGTGGGTTTTTGTGGATGCAGCTGGGTTAGTGAGGGGCCGTCCTCTGGCTCAAGGAGTCTTATTCCAGCAGAAGAGTCTCTTCCTCTGGAGGAGAGCTCCTTGTATCAGAGAAAAGCTGCCGTTTAGTTGAGCTCCCAATACAGTGGCTGCTCGGCTCCCACATGGCCAGTTGCCCCACCTTTTACCTGCCCCAGTGTCCCGTGGGGGAGAATCCTCCCCATGGCACTGGGGACTTTTCAGGCTTTTTAAAAAATTGGCAGCTGAATATTGTTATAATGCAACTAGCAGTATGGCCATCTGTATATCAGTTTCTCTGCATTCCTAGCTTTTCATTCTGAAAAAAGAAGTAAGTCTCTAGCCTCTTTCATTGCAGGCACATAAGGGGAAAGGGGATGGAGAATTATGGTTTAAAAAAAAAAGAAAGCTGGGATTGTAGAGAACCTGATACGGATTGTTATAGAGATATTCAGTTGCCTTTAAGAACGACTGGGTGGAGGTGGCTGCTGCAGCGATGGGGCAGGAGAATATGTGCTCTGTGGGCAGGGCCAGGAGTCTGAACGTTGCTGAGATCATTCCCAAAACGTCTCAGTTAAGCCAGTTTGGGAAAGATCAGAGATAACCTGATGCTGGGGGGAAGCAGGAAAAAAACACTTCCCAAGAGCATCTAAACCTGGAGCAATGGATTATTCCTCAGAAGGTTGTGGGCAACAAACCTGGAGCAATGGAGTAGTGTTGGATTATTCCTCAGAAGGTTGTGGGCAAATCTTGTTTGATTACACGCTATAGATCAGAGCCTTGGTTTCACTCAATGGCTTGGAACCACATTACGGTCTCCTAGAAACATGTTTTCCCAGGTTGTCCTGGAGGTTGCTTGGAAATGTGTGCTGTAAATGTTGGACAGCCAAAGTGTGTCTTCCTTTGCCCCCCAAGTCGGAAATACAAGACAGACAACAAGGTTGGGTACTAATGGGCCACTTTATTGAGACTATAACAGCATAACAGCAAACATAATGGGAAGGGGTAATCAGGTTGCGGCATGGCTAGGCCAGGGGTCCACGACCCCTCCCTCGCCATTCAATCTAGGGCGAGCCACCCCGCCCCGGACACCAGCCAAGAATATGGCTGACATCCGGCCAGCACAGCAATTGGAATTGCCAGGATAATCACCTCCCCGAGTCGCAGGGCTCAAAGGAAGAGATCTCCCCGCAATCCCATAGGCGGTCTGTTTTCCCCGCCCTGGGTCACAGGGCCCAAAAACTGTACTGACATGACCCCTATTCCCAAAGGGTTATAGCCGGTGCTCACTGTGCCGCAATCTGAACAGACTGACATCCTGCCAACTAAAGTGACCAACCTACTTAAACCCGACTTCACCCTTGTCAATCTTCCCAAACCACAACCGCAGTACAAGGTAGGCGAAAACACCCCCTCCCAGAGCCAATTAGGGAAGGGGTGAAAAATTCCTACCTGGCCCCCAAAGGGCGACTAGCTGTAGCCTGAACTGCCAGAAGGGAGGGAGGGTAGGCCGAGCAGAGAGGGCAGAATGAAGGAGGGAGGCAAGGGGCCGGCTCAAGAGAACTCCGCCCCCCCGTACCCGGATGCATCCTTTGCTGCATCATGCTGCCCTCGCTCCTTCCAGGGGGGCAAAGGCGGTCCACATGCAGCACGGCCACAAGGGCTGGCAGCACATGAACCGAATTCTCCTTATCCAAGGAGAACATAAGTTCTTTTGGATGTGTGGGTACACTGGATGCATGTGTTCCATGATTCTTTGAACACAGTGCACAAGTACAGGAGTTGGGCATATCACTCAGCATGCTGGGACACCGTTCTGTGGTGGGAGAGAGGCTGTTGTGTTCTAAATGCAAGTTTCTAGTCCTCAAGAATGCAGTGATGGCACTGCGTTCGGCTTCTATAAAGATGGCAACCCGAGTAGTCACCCAGAAGCTACTGTCCCTCCTGCTGGTGTTTTAAAGACATTTCTCTAACTGCCACGGACAAGATTTGGTAGGCACAGGAAAAAGCTTTACAGGATTAGGTATGGTGATGTGGATCCATCTTTATAGATCAGCAGAGAGACATGGTAGGGCATTTAATATATATCCGGGAGTCTCCACCTCCTGGAAGTTCCAGGCCCCCGAGACATCAAGTTTGCCCAAACTAAGGCCAGGGCGTTTTCGGTAGCGGCTCCTACCTGGTGGAACGAGCTCCCAGCGGAGATCCGGGCCCTGAGTAGGAGCTGCCCGCCACCACTATTCCACCACCATGATACGATCCTATCATCTACCCCTATTCTTGGGAGGGGGGTAGATGCCGTCTGGCGGAGATGGGGAAAATATCATTCCTGGCGCTCACGCCACTAATAATGCTGGCCGCCAACGCGGGATACTGCACATCTTGGGGATTCTTAGAGAATTTTAGAGCACCAATTTTACTATGTATGTAATAATGTTTTATTGTATTCTACTTTTTAATCCGGCATTGCCGCCTGTTAGCCGCCCTGAGCCGTTTCGGTAGGGCGGGATATAAATCCCAAAATAAATAAAATAAATATATAAATATATATAAATTTAGCAGGACAGTTCAGGTCGGTAGCCGTGTTGGTCTGAAGCAACAGAACAAAGTTTGAGTCCAGTGGCGTCGTTAAGACCAACAAAATTTAATTCTGGGTGTAAGCTTCTGTGTGCATGTGCTTGTCTTGAGATAATAGAAACAAGAAGGGTATCAGTCTATGAAGAACCAGGAGAAAGTCAGCAGTTCTGTTAAGGCCAGATATCTTTGTGTTGGCTGATCTCTGCTGGATCGAAGGCTGCAGTACCACCAACCAACCATCTGCAGTGACGGCACCGTAGAACAGCAGCGACCAGGCCAGCAGTTGCCTCTGTTTGCAAGCTGTCACATGGAATCGGGGGCTTGCGCCTTGCTGCCAGAATCCCCGGTTCTTGACATCTGGTGCTTTAGAAGTATCTTGGGAATGTATCTGTCTCACTTGGTTGGACTACTTAAGGAGATACTGTATTTGTAGCGACAGCAGTGTGAGTACTCATCTTTGGTTAACAAAAGTAAACAAATTATGAAAAATAAGGGGGGGGGAGTGCAAATTTTTGCTTCCTCAGTGCTGAACCTAATTCCCTGTGGGAAGACAGAGTTAGAGTGACCTTAATGTAGAATCTGCATTTGTGAAAAATGCCTTTGTTAAGCACAGGGGGTCAGTTCTGCTTCTCCTGAGAAACAAGGATTCATGTAAACAGTTCCCTTTTAAAATAGCAATTCTGTGTTCACTCGGGTTGTCCAGAAGTGTGCCCAGCCCCCTTCTTCCACACCTAGACCAGCCAAGTGGCACACCGCCCCTGAGAGGAAGGCCAACCTACGTGCAGAAGGGAGACGGCCATTTCTCAGTAAGGACCAGTAAGAGCAATATTGTAGAACACTCATACGAGCAGAATTGAGTTATACAGCTCCAGTCAATAGGCTAGACTAGGTTCTGTCTCCTCTCTCTGCCAAGTTGGATTCCAGAATTGTTTGCCTTTCCCCCCCCCCCTCCTCTTCCAATTTCTTTTTTAAAGCACACGGTGGAACCTGTATATTTCTGCCCGCTTGTAATCACTTTCCTCCATCAATCTTCACTTCGGTGTTATGGTGCAATCTCATATCCAAGCGCTGGCCCAAGTAGGACCCATAATAGCTGGTGGAAGAAGAAATAGCTTTCTCCCTTGTGAACAGTGTTCTGAAACTCACCCGCTGCTTCAGCATTACACCCCTGACATATGCCCTGCACCCATTCACATACACTCCAGTTCCCCTTTCCTTTCTACCCTGGCCCCCTCCTTTCCATCTTTTTGGCCAAGTGCTGCAATTTTTACAATGTGCCTTTTTAATGTAGGTCTCCAATATCGGTGGTATTTATTGATTTACAGTGTTGTATATGCTGCTTCCCCCCTCCTCTGCTTTCGTAGCATTCTACAATATTTTAAAGTCGCAATAAGATAAAATCGTAAAACAGCAAATGGTAACTGTAAAAACAGGCCCCAGACTACTAAATCGACCAAACGCCTGTTGAAATAAAGAAGCCCTTGTGGGAAATGCCAGAGATGAGTTCTTCCTGACATCTAAAGAAGCATTGTGGTGTAGTGTTTGTAAT